CTCCCGTCCAAATGACCCCGGACGCCCATCTGCAGAAAGCGTGATCCCCTCTGAACACGCACGCCCTTTTTCTCTGACCCTGACGGCAGGACTGGCTCACGTACGCATCTTATGCAGTGAATCAGCAATTATTTTTCGAGTGGTTCTAAGCGTCAAGATTAATTTCACTATCCCCGGTAATAAAATGGTTTCAAATGACATCTTTAATCAGCGAGTAAAAATGCTCTCCTCCAATTGAGACAAGCTGTCACAAAAGGTCGCCAAACTATGACAGGAGGGAAATTACATTTGTAACTTCAACTGAAATGTTAATTTCCCTCTAAGTGTTTTCTGAACCAGTGTGGACCCCGGCGCGCCGGCCGGGCCTCACCAGCGGCGTCTCGCGTCGCGGCCAGCCCTTTCTGAGAGGGGCTTCAGGAAAACATGTGCACGCAGGCAATTCTGTGACAGACCAATACGCACCATCTCCAGAACACGGTTTCCGGGCAAAACAAAAGGACCAAGCGGCAGCCTCAGGAGGCCTCCGGGAGTAACGGAGTGAGGCCCGCCGCCTGCCCAACAGGGTGGGCGCACTTTCCCAAGGCCCGGTAGCAACACTAAGGGCTAGCTCGAGGGCAAGTGTCTGGCAGACAAGAGGTCCTGGAGGCTACAGCGACACAGCTCCGGTGTCCCGGGCGGGCGCTGGGGCAGGCGAGCCGAGCCCAGCGCCTGCTGCCAGCAACCCCGGGCCAGTGACCGGCAGCCCTGAACTGGGCAGCCACTTCGGGCCCAGGCCCAGCCTCCCCCTCTCTGGAGAGGGCCTCAAAGGAAGCACCCGGATGCGGCGAGATGGGCCGGCCAGGAGCGAGGGAGCCCTCTGTGCTAAGGCGCCCCGGGGCGCAGCCGCGGGGACGGAGACCGGCCCCCACTGGCGCTTGCATCTCCATGACAGCTAGCACCATGGGAATTCAAATCACTAACCAACCCCCGCGGGTCGGCCCCGCGGCCGGGGTGTGAACACACGCCGAGTTCACGCCCTTCCAGGCGGGCGCCCGGCACAGCCGCCAGGCGACACGCGCCTGTGCCACCCGCAGACCCCAGCGCCAGGAGCGAGCGGCCGAGCCCGGCGGCGCTCCCGGGGTTCACCGTATCTCAAAGCAGAGTTTTCATTTTTGTAAAAAGCTCAAAGACCCCACGCACGAAAACACTCAGGTCACGCGAGACGGGTCCTCTGGCAGCAGGACACTCCACCCCCGACGGGACGGCGGAGCCGTTTCTGGACCGAGGCCGACGCTGACGGGCGACCGCTAGTCCTGCCGGGCCGGCTGCTCCCGCGGGCCGACCACCTGCCCAGCGGGCAGGTGCTGAGGAATCCGACCTCCGCGTGGACAGACGGCCCTTCGCAGGGAGGCACAAACCGCGTGTCAGTGGCTGGACAGCGTGCTCTGGACACTGGGCTCTGGGTCGCCCCCAGCCGGGCGGCCGCTGCCACCGGCCAGCAGTCGCGCTGACAGACGCAGCTCCCGCCGGCGGGCCTGAGGCCTGGTGAGCGGTCAGCCGTGCAAGGCGACAGCCCTTGCCGAGGCCTCACGTGCCCGCCTACCCGGGGGCGCCTGTGCACCCCCAGTCCAGCGCAGGCCCCGGGAGAGACAGCGAGGCTGCCAGCGCCTTCACGAGAGCAAATACCTACGCCGAGCCCCTCTGTAAAGCGCAAGCGACTCAGAGAAGGAGAGGCTGAGGGAGAGGCCGGCCAAGACGAAGATCACCCCCAGGCAGGCGTGCGGTGTCGCGGAGGCCACTGGAGCGCGCTGGCGACGCCCGGCTGGCGCTGAGCAGGCTGAAGCCAGCCGAGGACCAGAGCTGCTCAGAGGCGGGGCAGGTCCAGGAGACGCCCCCTGGCCCCAGAGGGCCGAGGCCCTCACTGGCCTGCTGCCTGCCCAGTGGTCACCGCCCTCGCGACTCAGCCGCTACCCCCTTCGCCAGGTCTGCCACATCGAGGCTTCCCGACGCGTAATAAAGCTGAAGCCCAGAAAACGAGAAAGAAGTGAAGGCCACGGACACACCTCCCCTCTGCTGCTGGACCGGCGCGGGCTCCCCCAGGCTGCCGGCCACGCCCGTGCGCATCGTGCAGAGCCCAGGGCCGGAGGCCTGCGGCGGGCGCCACCTCCGCCCGGCCTGCACGCCCCCCACCTGCTCGGGAGCACCTCTGCCCTGTGCCAATCTCCTCTGACGCAGAGTCAGCTTCCAATTCTTTCTCGGAGGCAGAAGCCGCCCTGGTTCAGACCAAATGGCAATGCATACCCACACTGAGAAACACTGGGGGCCCTCCTGAGCCAGAGGCAGAGAAGAAAGCGGGGTGTGTGTCTCTCTCTCTGGAACGACCTCCCCATCAAGCCCGTGTAGCAAAGGCACAGGCCAGCTCCCCACAGACATGCAGGGTCCTGCCACCACCCAAAGGCAAGCGCCGAGGCTTCCGACTTCAAACAGCGCCCAGAGGTGCTCGCAGCTTTTACTGCGGCCGAGACCGCAGGCAGCAGGCCCTCCAGAAGCTCCAACCCGAGCACCTGTCAGAAAGGCCGCTCCCTTGGGCCCCTGCAACCTACCGAGTCCGAGGGGGCGGGGGCCTTGCTCCGCGGCAGACAGCGGGGCGGCCAGGGCCCTGCGGGGTGGTCACGGCCACACAAAAGGGCACACGCGGCTCCAGTCAGGGCCAGGACCAGCCCTGGCAGTCTGGAGGGTCCCAGCGGGGCCAGGCGCCGCCACGCCCACACGCCCTTCCCAGGGAAGCGGGAACCTCCTAGTGCGGCCAGACTCCAAAGACAGACGATTAGAAAGGAAACCACCGGGTACGTGATTCACACAGCTTCGACGGCCACACAGCGACTTTCGCAGGCCGACGCCCAGGGCCTGCCTCGCGCAGCCCGTCTGAGCGGGCGCGGAGTCCGCGTCTGAACACCCTGGGGTCCGCGTCACCCAGCCGGCCCGTCTGAGCAGCCCTACGGAGCAGCTGGAGTGGGAGCGAGGAAGGGTGGGACACAGGCAAAAGAAGTTACCCAAAGTTTCTGGAATGTTCCTTCTCTCTCGAGTTACATCCGAGAGCCTAATAATTGTTCCTTCTTTCCTTTCAGTTTTGAAGCGTAACCGTCCAGATTCTTCATCGTCGTCATCTTCTTCATCGGATTCTTCTTTTATGTCCTTCTGTAGCTCCAAAGTCTCCATGCCTCCCTGCAGGGTGAGAACAGAGGCAGGTGAGCCCGCAGTCTTGGAGCTGGGCGCTGGCGAGCGGCGCCTTCTCGACGCTCGAGACGTCCAACGACTTAGAGCCGCGTGAAGCGCCAAACCGACGCCGGCAGAAGGCACGCACTGCAAGACCTACGGTAGGCCGGACGAGGAAAAGCCCCACCCGCCGCCGCCTCGCCGCCGCGCACATCCCAGGACACGCCGCATGCCACCAGGCTCC